ACTGTAGAAAAGAGATTGCACTCATTTCTGAAGTTTCAAAGACACTCAATCCACAATCAGCCAGGATGTAAAGCATCTGACATTGTACCCGGCACATAATAAACCCTCAATAAATATCAAATTTCCTTTTCCTGCTAGGGTGCAGCACAGTGTGAGGATGCTTTGGGGAGCACCAAAGAAATATAAGGCTGCATCCCAGGCTTTAAAGAGCTTAGTGACTTAGCAATATTCAGCTATGAATCCCACCCACCAAATGGAGAAAAAAGCACAGAAATCCCCTCCCACTGAGCCAGGGCCTCTCTGGATGTGAAAATGAGAAGCGTCAGGCTCAGCCCGCTGAGCCCCTGCCCCTCTCTTCCCACCCCCTGGTTTCAATCTGTTTAATTATTTTTTCATGTGTGCTCTAGCAAGCCTGTTATTTTTATGGGTCGCTGTCTATTAATTTTTCTCCCTCCATCCTTCCGTCTTTCAGCACGATCAGGACAGTGCAGACAGAGGGCTGGAGTCAGGCTCCAGTGGACGGAGATTACACAGATATATATAGAGATGAGAGCAAGCAAGCAAGCAAATGCGGTTACCTCTGAGGCTGCAGAGAAGCTGTTAAGTGGCGGAGATTTAAAGCTTCATTCGCCTCTGTACTAACTTCAAGCTGTTCTAAGCCCAGTCTCCCAGACGACAAAACTCAGACCAGCTGCGCGAGAGAGGATATTACTCCCGACGGAGCCTCAGGTCTGATTTAGAGGGTGCTTAGAGGAGGCAAGTGGGGCAGACGACACTGAATAGAGTTTTATTTCTGGGGAAACTTTCTCTGCTGAAGACAAAGCTAAGGACAGAAAGAAAACACTCATCAGTCATCTAGAGTGGATGCAACAGATGAGAATTGGAGTCTACAGCAGGGCAGGCAAAAATGGGGTCTCATCTAGGGCAGAAGCCCTCACCTGAGAGGGTGATGAAATAGGAGTGGGGCTATCAGAAGATGCAGTCCTTGTTTCAGCAGTATTTGGAGCATCACCTGTCTAGAAGCAGGGTGCTGGGACCATGTGGCTTCATAAGGTCATTTCCCATTTTTTGTTGGTCTAAAATGTGCACAGTCAGGCAGCCTGGTGCATGGCAAATTGGGTTTCCAAGTGAAAGTGAATTTCTGGAGGTAGGCGGTGGAGAAGCCACTACCTGGCTCCCCTATAGAAGCAGAAATAATACTGAGGACCCAGCAACAGAAAAAACCTGAATGGGGGCAAGCAACAGCAGAGAGATTACTTCAAAAAGTGGCAGTTGGAAGGGACTATGGGAGCTGAGGAAGAACAAGGAAGAAGAAAACTTCACTTGCTGTAAAACTGGGAGAACTTCAGAGGTCCAGCTGAATCATCTTTAATGTAAAGTGCACAGACTGCCTCTTAAGCGTTCCCCAAAAGCCCATTTGTTAAAGACTTGGTCCCCAGGCTTTCAATATTGGGAGGTGGTGGAACCTTTAAGGGGTGGGGCCTACTGGGAGGTCTTTAGGTCATTGGGGGTATGTATTGTGGCATCCTAGTCCCTTCCTCATTGTCTCCTTTGCTTCTTGGCCATGAGGTGAGTACCACATATTTCTGGCTCTGATATGCTGCCTTCCCTCAGCTCATAGCCACAGGGCCAACCAGTTATGGGCTGGACCTCCAGAACAGTGAGCCAAACTTTTCTCTTCATAATTTAATGTTCTCAGCTATTCCATTATATGATTACTGATGGAAAGGTGACTAATATCTTAGTGCAGTTGGGGTTAATCTTGGGTCTCACTGACTGAATCCTAATGACATGGTTTGACAATTTGAGAGCTAAGAGCTGGCTGCCAGTGGAGGGGTGCTGTACTTGATCCCAAGTCAGCGGGAGAAGCTTTGTCTTTTTTTTTTTTTTTTTTTCCAGTGCTGAGTATAGAACCCAGGACCTTACATATACTAGGCAAACACTCAACCATTGAGCTATCTCCCTAGCCAGAGAAGCTTTATATAATGAAGAGTTCTCTGGGATAGCTCTGGAGCTGGTTAGCATCAGGTTTAAGGATCTACAAATACAGTGTTGTTTTATTTTTCTTCCAAAGGTGTGGGGTTGGGTAAAAGAGAAAATACTACATTTTGCTTGAAAAATTTGTCTGCCTTGTGGGTTAAGATGGAACTTTCTTCCTGGGAGAGGCTACTACAGGGAGCAGCTGGGAATGTGGCCAGTGGCCCAAGCAGACATGGACATGCTTCCTGTTCTGCAGCTGTGCAGGGGGCCTGTGTGCACTGAGTGACCAGCCTCAGCAGCAGAATTGGAGCAGGGAAGATCAAAGCTTATATTAGGGTTTTCTCTTTTCCACAAGCCTTTCTAGCAACCAACCTGCTCTATATCCTTCCCTGTGCGCATTCTGTCTTCCCTCCCTAGGGGTGACTGACTGTCACTAAGAAAATAATTATTGAGCTCAGTATTTACCCAGAAAGCATGGAATCCCTCATGTGACACATTAGATGCCAGAAGAATAAAGGCCAAATTTGTTGCTAAAATATCAGAAGCAGAACATCTTTTATGCCTAAACTCATCAATTTCTTCTGATTCCTTCAGATGGATTTCATTCAAATGGATCATGAAGTGTGTCATCTGTATCCCTTCTTTAGAGACATCTTGAGTCATAGTCAAAGTAAATCAGGCATAAGGTTAAGCCAGTTACACAGTAACTTTCACACTCTGAACAATGCTAGGAAAGTGCACGGAACCTGGAAAAGAACATTGTCCCTTCATCATCCTTTTGGGCCACACTGGTGGGGAGACATGATGTGCACAAAGCTGGGAGCTGCATCTCTAGGTGATGTGGCCGTGTGTGGTACGAGCTGGAATCAGATGTGGGAAAAGTTCACTTTGTTTTTTCTCCCTGTCCTCTCTGGTAGAACTTGTCCTTGGGCCTAAGCATCCTTTCCTGCTGGGAGATGGGACTTTTCGGGTCACTCTACAAAAGGGGGAAGCTGCATGCCAGAACAGCAGGAATACAAGGCAGGTCACCAGATGAAATGCACCAAAGAAACGGTGCAAAATGCAGAGGACTAACAGACTTCTTTCTGAAGAGTAAGGGGCAGGATATACATGATCTCTTTCAGAGACCTTTAAGGTAGAAGTAGAAACCTCCATGAAATATGTCAGCACAATTAAGGAGAGGATAGATTTTTTTTTTTCCTTTGAGAAAGAAAGGCCTCTCTGGTACCCCACAAATTGCTTGACTGTGTGGAGGGCCGGCTGAGCACTTAGCCTACAATTCCAAGCCGTTTGTTTCCATGAGAGTAGAAAAATGTGGGAGGAAGTGCCTGAGGAGAGGGAGAGATGTGGACAGAAGCCAACTGAAGGGAAAGAAACAGGTACACTTGAGAAAGAAGAATGGCTAGCAAGGGAAGGAAGGGGCCAAATGTTCAATAACCAAGCGAGCCCTCTAAATGGAGCAGAGACATGAACTTGCCTCTTGATATGACTGTGGGTGTACACTCAACTCTTGTTGAGCTTGTGTCCTCCCGACCAAGATGATTACATAACCTCTCATTTTTAGCCGACTAATGTGCTGCATTAATAGCTTTTTTTATTGGCTTTTTATGAAAGGATGATATGTCCAAGCTTTTTAGTAGTTAGTCAAATTGTCAAGTTGCTCATAAACCAAGACAAGTTAGAAATGGCTTTCCTCTCTCCTGAAGAAGTTGGACAGGCCTAGGGATGATCTTTTGAAAGTGCTCAGACAAGAAGAGGTGGCTGTAGATAGAGTGGAGGTGAGCAGGTTTCCTAGTGCTTATTTACTTTTAATTCAACAGCCCTAGGGCCAGGCAAATTATTTAGTTCTTGACTTGGTAGCCAGAGGCCAACACTAGAAGCCAAGAATTATGATTTAATGGAGGTTAATTATCATTCCTATCCTAGAAATATATTCTAGGTCATTAATCTGCAACCATCCTATTGCAATTGCTTCCTTTTTGGGAGAAGAGGAGAAAGTTTCTTCTTCCATTTGCAGGAATGAAGCAAGAGATTTCAGGAATTTAACGCCCAAGGTTCCATTCTGTGTGTGTATCTTAGAGACTCCCAGGCTTAGGACAAAGTAGGACTGGGATTTGTTTAGTCAGAAGTGATATGCTGGTGTGGTTTCAAAGGTGGTCTCTACATAAAGTATTTTATGCAGAGCTAACAGATCTTAGAGATGGTCTCATCTGAGTGCCTCATTTCATAGATGGCGGTCAGAGAGGAAAAGGAGCTTCATGTACAGAGGAGCAGAGCCCCCTGGACCCAGTCTTCCAGCTCCTTATCATTTTACAGGGCTTCTTCCACTGGAAGTCAAGTGCCCCCATTGGCTGGCTGGCTGTGCCGGGGAAGCACAACTTTCCCCCATTGTGATCCGGTATCATTTCTGCCTTTCTTGTTTCTTCTGCTTCATTTCTAGAGCTCATCCTCCTCTGTCCTTGCTGTCCCATGAAGCAAGGCTGAGGCAGGGTGCTGTGCATCCAAATCCATGCACAAAGCAAAGACAAAACCCTGGAGCTTACAGGTATGGCTAAGATGCCTGTCTTCTCCACGCTTACTGCCAGGGCTGGCCCTGAGTTTGAAAATGTTGCGTGCTCACCATGGCTAAATCCCTCTGTTCCATGTGCCTGTTTCTCTCTTACTCTGCTCTTCCTTCCAGTCATTTATGTAGCCATGCTGTTTTGATGTTGGGCAGGCAAAATACTGAATGATGGAGACTGCTGCCTTCTAGTCTCAGACAGGCCCAGAAGCGAAGGAAAATAACTGCTCTGACAGGAACCTCCCTCTTCTCATGAAAGGGGCCCTGCTCTTTCTGTGATCCAGAAGAGGGCCATTACTGTTTGGCTGTGTGGTAAAGGTTTGGTCACCAGCCTGTGATGCTGTTGGGAGGTGGCGGAACCTTTAGGAGGTGGATCTTGAAGGGAGGACGTTAGGTCACTGGAGTGTGCCCTTGAAGGGATATTGGGAGGCTGGTGCCTTACTCTTTCTTTGCTTCTCAGTTTTCACGAAGTGAACAGTCTTCCTCTACTGGAAGCCATGATGTGCTCCAGCCGCCATGATGTATGGTGCTACCAAAGGCCAGGAGCAAATAGGCAAAGTGACTATGGACTGAAATCTCTGGAACTGTGAGTGAAAATAATTTTTTTTGTTCTTTTAAATTAGTTATCTCGGGTATTTTCTCATAGTCCTGGGAAAGCTGACTAACACTAGGCCAGTGGCTACAATCTTTTCCTTTCAGAGAGGGAAAGTAGAGGCAGAAAGTCCCGAGTAAGGGACATTCTTGGAGAAATAGGATGCAGATCTTGCCATTTCTTATTTGTTACTACACTTTTAAAAAATCACTAGAGTGGGCAGAATTCCAAATTAATGGAATCTCTGATTGATAGAATTCTTAATATATTAATTTAATAGAATTATTAATATACTAGGTGTTTTAGATCTATTGTTCCAAAAAGTTCAAGACACATTATGTATAGACTTTAAGTTCTGTCATGAAAGGTAAAAGAGATAATAAGAAAGTTATGTGGAAAGAACAGGTGATTAAAAACATATTAATTCATGCTTGTGCTCAGCAAGGGCTTATGGAGGGCTTACAATACCTCAACACACAACACTGACTGCTGAGAAGACAGAAAAATGTGAAACAGTATTTCCTCTTCGTGAGCTGACAGTGAGGGAAAGATCTGTGGAGGCTTATGGGGTCAGGAAGAGTTTCACCAATGGAAATAAACTTGAGGTAGACCTTGACGGGTTGAAAAGCTTTGCATTAACATGAAGAGAACACGATTGCAGGCAGAGGAAAGGCAGGGATCCAGATCAGCTTTATTATGACTTATTTCAGTCTTGTTGAAGAAGGAGTATTTGGGAAAGTAACAGAAGATAGCACATGATAGGTAGGGTAGGGGCAGAGCATTGAATGCCATGAAAGGAAGAGTCAACAGCACAGCGCCTGCCTGGCAGGCGCAAGGTCATGAGTTCAATTCCTGGTACCAGAAAAAAAAACAAAACAAGACAACAAGATTAACTTTTAGCCGGGCGTGGTGGCACACGCTTGTAATCCCAGCACTCGGGAGGCTGAGGCAGGAGGATCGTTGTGAGTTCGACACCAGCCTGGGCTACAAAGTGAGCTCAAGGACAGCCTGAACTGCATAGTGAGACCCTGTCTCAAAAAGACCAAAAAAAAAAAAAGAAGAGTCAAAGGAAGGAGGACAAAGACTAAGCAGTGTTTAATCTAAACCTTCCAGCAAACAGATTAAAAAAAAAAAGATAAAAGAAAAAGCCTTTTTAATCTGGCCCAACCAGGACAACAGCGGATACTGACACGCCGGCACAAACATGACCTTGGACTAGAGTGTGTGTGTGTGTTGGAGGGACACCCAGGGACTCTCAGTACCTGTAGGTGACCTGGGGGTGGGAAGGAGGGCGCCATAGTGTAGCTGCCATCTCCCTGCACATGTTTGAATTCGGGACTGACAAGACAAGCTGGATAATTCTGCTTAGTTGTGTCTTGAATTCCCCTCTCTGTGGTACAGGATCCCCTTGAAGCGTGACAGCTGCGATGACTTCCAGATGTTTGCCTCCTGTCTTCCAGCGGGCTGGGGTGGATGTGGTAAACTCGGCGATGGAAACTGAAAACCCGGCCAGATGGACCGTGTCAGCATCAGCCACACTCACATCTGGCTTCAATACCTGCAGTGATAACCAGAACAAATGGTCGCTGTTCCCACTGCCCTTGGCTTGTCAGCGTCCACGGGACACAGTCAGGACAGCACGAGCACCAGGCAGGTGTGTGGTTCGGGTCATGCAGGTTGAGGACATCAGAGAGGGCAAACTGGGCCTGGAGCCCCAGACCCAAGCCCACTGGTTGGAGTTTTGGCTCAGTTTGGCTTTGCCTGGCTGGACTGGAACTTGAGATCGTCCTGCCTCAGCCTCCCTGAGTGCTGGGATTACAGGCATGTGCTGCCATGCCTGGCCTTTCCTCTGCTCTCTACCACTGAGCTACACCCCATCCTTCCTCTCCTCCTGAGTCCATAAGTAGGGGTCATTAACAGTGATGGCACAGGAGTAGGCTCGTAGCTGTTTTTACTACTATGATGGAATTTTCTAAATGAAACAATAAGAAAAATAAAACCCACTCTGAAACAGGATGGAGTATACAGAGCTGGATCGGAAGGAACGTAACCACACCCATGTCTACTGGCCTGCAGAGAGACATAGAGTGGCACTGTATGTCATCAGTGCTGCTTCCCTCTGCCCTCGGGCCTCCTCACAGCGCGTGTTGTGCATTTGAAGTGGTCATTAATTCAGCACCAATACACTTGGATTTGGGTCTTGATTCTGATGCCAGTGAGCCTGGTGGTGTGGGACATATTTTGGTTTCTTCCATTACAAATTGAAGCAATTTTTTAGAAAACTGCATATGGTTCTCTGACACTGAAAGTTTACAAAGAGAAATGAATTAAGGATGGAACTAGAATCCAGGTTTTTCATAAACTGTGTAACCATGTGCTAGTCTCTGAACTTCAATTTATCACCTGAACAACTGGCTCAGGGAAATGGGAAATGAAAATTGGCTTTAACAGGTATGATGCTCTACATATGCATGTTTTGCTTTATTTATTTTACATAAAAGAGAGAACTGAGGCTCAGAGAAACTGACTCACTGCGAGGCCGCCTCATGCTCCACGCAGTCACCTCAGCACGGCTTTGTGTGTCTCCCTCCTTCTGCCTTCAGTTTTAAGGTCAGGATGTTGCTCCCAGCCAAGTGGCCCCTGAGGAAGAAGGGGCCACACACGGAGGCCCACCTGGAAGCCTCCTCAGCTTTGAGTCTGAGGAGGGCTCATGCAGGGCCTCCCCAGTCCCCTCTGTAGAGTCTCCAGCAAGGAGCTGCTCCCTTTCTGGGGCTGCAGCCCAGGACGTGTGGTCAGAGAGGAGTCTCTACTCTGACTTCACCTCTTCCCTCCTCTTTCTCTCTGGCTTTCTTCCTTTCTGCTCGTAGTTTCTCTGAGAAGATCCTCCTTTTGTTTGCACTTCTCTGTGGAAGCTTGCTTTCTTTTCCCGTCACTTTCCCTTGTAAACTTATCCATTAAGGTCCTTTAAAATCTTCTCCTCTGGGTCCTTCCCTCTCCCTTCTCTTTGTTTTGTCTTGCTTTGTTTTCCACAGTCCTGGGGATGGAAGCAGGGCCTCCCAAATTCTAGGCACACACTCTGCCTCCAAGCTACACCCCCAGCCCTTTTTATCTATTCTCTTAGTTAACTTAGTCAGCACATTTTCCCCCATCATCCTGCTTTTTTAAAAATTAATTTTGATCAAAGTGATGTTTAAGATATTTAAAAGTCAAACATTACTGCTAGGACTGCAACAGTGACAACTAAAATAGTAATCCCTTGACCACTCCTTGACCAGAAGTGATCTCTACCAGCTGTATCTGTTTCTTCTCAATATTTGTGTTCTTCCTTAGAAAGAATATGCTTATCCTGCTTTTCTTGGTTTATGGATTTTAGGTACTGTCTTTTAGTTTCCTATCATGGCAAGTGAGACTATATAACATAGCTGAGAGTGTGGACTCCAGTGGAAGTGACCTGGGCTTAAATCCTAACTCCAGTACTTACTGATGTGGGCCTTATACAAGATGCTTTACTGCTGTGTATCTCAATTTCCTTGTCTGAAAGAGGATTCTAGCAGATTTACCTCAGAAAGTGATGATGAGCACTATAAGTTGAATATATAATGTGCATAGAATAATGTCTGGCACACAGTAAGTGCTATATAAATATTGTTTATTAACATCATCAAATTGATCTGCATACATTTTTCCTTCACATGTCTTCCCAAAATAGTTCTGTCACCATTTTTGGTTAAACCAATATTAAATATTTACATTATGACTATATAAATATTATTCCCAGGTAAGTCACATAGAAACCTATAATTATGTTTCCATTCTCATCCAGCCTTTTATTTTTCCTGGAATTAAGATGATTCTGTTTTTGTGTTTTATTTAGTTTTTCCAGGTACCTGTTATTAATTCCATCCATAAAATCTCCTGTCCATACATTTAAATGGTATGCTCTTGGTATGGTTATTTCCCTTGGCAACCTTTCCTGGTTCTTTTGAGGTCTCCTGTTCCCATCTGGACAGGTTCCTCTGTAGCCTGATGAATAGGACATTCTAGGAGTCTCTTCAACATCATCTTGGCATTTATCTCTTATATTAGAGTCCTTGATGCCTAAATTATACATGTGATGGTAACTGCTGGCTATTATCTCAAATCCACTCTGTCCTTCTTCCATTGTAATAGAATAGTAGCTAATATCTGGCCATCTAACCAAAGACTTTGTTTCCCAATTCACTCTTAAAGTTAAGGGTTACCACATGAGTCAATTTTGCCAAGTGAATGCAAGTGGAAGCAATGCATGCCATTTCCTGGCCTGCTTCACAAAAACCTCTACACTTTTTCCATCTGGTGAGTTGGAACATGAAAATCTCTCCAATCAAACTATGATCATACACAAAAGGATAATGTCTGAAGATAATCATTCTCAAACTTCACTAAGTATTAAAATCACACAGAAGTCTTGTTAAAGCACAGGTTTCTGGGCTTAATCCCCTCAAGTCTCTGATTCATTAGATCTGGTATTGGGACATGAAGGTTTGCATTCCTAAGAAGTTCCCAAGTGGTGCTGATGTTACTAGCCTCGAAATTACATTGTAAGAACCACTATCCTAAGAGTGGCATAAAAACAAGATAAAGGTCATTTCAGTGCTCCTGGAATGACTAAGTGGAGCAGAGTTGCCCTGCTTCCTGGATTACAATACTTATTCCAGGTTATATGAGGAAAAAACCAAGTTTACATCTTCATCAACCACTTAATTATTTGGGGGTTTCCAAATTATAGCAGTCATAATAGTTAATAACATTAAAAACAGCAAACACAAGAGAGCAATTTTGTCTTCTCTTCCTTAAAATTAAGGAGGATAAATTTGGGGTTGGGGGTCTCACAGTCATGGCACAGTCACCGAGCACTGTGGGGATGGGACACAGGCAGAGTCCTGGGCCCTTGGCTGCTACCCATTAAAAGTGTGATTTGTATTTTCTCCTGGGACAATTAGATACTTAAAGGCCATTTTTGCTATGAACCATGGTCCTTGGGCCTACAGATGTCCAATAAATAGTAAAGATGGAATAAAGCTTGACTTTCACTTTGTATCATTTGTTACTATAAATCTTGGGTCAGATCTCTTCTCAGTTTTTCATAGAGATATGTTGATCATTGAGGGAGTGTCTGTCTAGGAGCTGGTCAGACAGAGTTGATTAACCCTGAGTTTACATGACCTCATCCCCCTTCAGACTGAGGATACCAAGATAAGAGGTTTACACGGATATTCAGCTACACGCAGAAGGCTTAAGATCCATTGTCCTAAACCTGTGATCACCTGGATTCCAGGAAAGGCGGAGCTCCACATGACTGAGATCACCAGAGACAATTGTTTTCTGGGAACAAAACTGTACCTCAGTCACAAAGATTCCAAAACTATGACACCAGGACTGAGGTAATGATCAATTGGATCCCAGCCCACCAGCTAATCCTTAAAAGCTGGCCTTCCATTTTGGGTGGTACACCAGTCTGAACCACTGTATGAGAGTATGTCCACTCCAGCCATCTAAACTGAAATGTTGTCCCATCTTCCCTCTAACATTCCAATTACAGTGACCAGAATCATGAACTCGGTTCATGAACTTAATTTTTTCCATGATTCTAATCACAAAACGAATTGGATGAGAACCAAATCAAATTCAATGGTTTGGTTTAATGTTGACTTTATGGGGAAATTTGATTTCATTCTCATCCAATTCAGTTTGCAGCCAGAATCATGGAAAGAGTTTGTGAACTGAGGTACCACTGTTAAGCTTTTTCTGTAAAACAAGTTCTTTTTTTATGCCCTTGTTTTAACCAAATACATCTATCAGTGGTTTTGGGAGAAAAGAATATCGTTTCTAGAGACTTTGTTTATCATATTGGTATATTTGATACTTCGGCTGGGTGTAGAATTCTGAGTTACATTCTAATTTCACTCGAGATTTCAACATTGCCTTCATTAACATCATGATTCTTCATCTTTTATAAGTGACCTGTATTTTTATTTTAAAATCTCTTCTTAGGAACTTTTGTGATCTTTTTATTCCTAGCAGTATAAAATTACAGAGTGATGTATCTGGGCTATTCTTTTCTCATTCATTGTATTGTATTTCACTCCAGTTCAGTTCCAGTATTATTGAGTAATATTCAGTGATTTCCTCCCATCTGTTTTCTTGGTTCTCTCTGGCATCTATCTCAATTTTCTTATCTTCTACATCTATAACAATATTCCCTTTCTATATCTTTTCTCTAATTTTATTGTCATTTTTTACTTTTCTGAGATTTCCTCAACCACATTCCAAAGGAAAACTTGATTTTCTCACCTCATATATTTAACACCTCAGAGTATTTGTTTCATCTTCTAATTTCTTAGTGTTCTGTTCTTGTGTCATAAAAGCAATTTTTTCTGAATTCCTCTTTTTGGGTAGTTTGGTTTCTTTTGAGGTGTTTCATGTTAGGAGCTTTGCTCAAAAACGTAGTGATTTTCTCCTGCATGAAGTGGGGCACATTTTGTCAGTTGATGGCATTCTCCCTAGCTTATGTGGGAGATGTTTCATTGAAGGACATTCTCTAGTCTTTTTTATTAGAAACATCAGTTACTCATAAAAGAATCTTCCAGTCTCCTGTCTGGGAGCAGGGACAGGTATGGTGAGAGGGTATATGAGCCTGGTTGCCAGCCTTCTGGGAATCAAGCAGAGGAAGGGGGCTGGAATCTCATCTGTGACTAGGTACAGCAACTGTGTATGTAAATATACTCGTGTCAGTAAGATGGCTTGTTC